GGGGCTCAATAGTTTGGTCATATTAAACAGAAGACAGGTGTCCCAGCTGTTTTTCCAATATCTGACAGGAAAATATGTGCTCCAATGTCCTGTGGCAGTACTGACAAGGCTCTTAGTTTCTCTTCTTATTTGTCATTCTTATTGAATATGAAATCTAAGAGAACCATAAGTAGCACATGGAGACCAGCTCCATTGGAATGTCACGCTGAGTAGAGCAGCCTGCTGAAGGAAGACAGCTTTCTAGGAGCGCCGGCTCTTGTTCCTGACTACTCACATGCTTTACTTTCTTAGTGAGATGACAAGTCATCTAAACCTGGAAAAATTAAAATGTTGGATTTGGATTTGTTTTAAGTAAACATACTAATTTAAACTAATAGGTATACATGGAGAGAAACCAACTTTATATTCCACTGCTGAGCTATCCCGAATTTAATGGAATCACAAACTTTGAAGAAACAGTAATCATAACAAGAATTCTAGCAACTATGATAGATATTATATTTTGTTTCCATGTCTGTAAATGATGTATAAACTTCATGACCATGAAATATTACTACTAAGGAAAGAGGTCTATTTGCTAAATGAATAATTATGAAATAAGTTAGTTAATTTTACAGAAGGATTGATATTAGCTATAGGCATTTGTCAGTGCTTCTCAGATTAGCTCCACTAAATACAAACTCTGTTTGGTTCCATACGCAGGCAGCAAGTGCTTCTTTGCTTCCCATCACTTTACAGGAAACCTTAAAAGTTTCTCACTCTTTCTAGTTTTGGGAACCATGTCTTGAAGATCCTACACCTAGTTGGTAGTGACATAGCTATCTCAGATGCAGTAGACTAAGTTGAGTTCTCATCTTTCAGTTTGTGGCAAACTGTGTTCAATTCTTATCACTGTAGAACATTAATAACAACAGCCAACAGCTTCAACACCACCAAAAGAGAACCACTAACCGGGCTGGAAGAGGAAGCATGTTCCCTAAAAGCAACAGAAGCCCCACAAGTCTGGGACTCATGCACTTTGCATACGTGTACGTGCTCACGCACATACACACACACGCACACATTTTTTTTCTGGAGACTCCTTTATGACACTGGAAACTACCACTGAATGGATGGTGATCAAAATCAACACAATTATTAAACTATATCATTTATAGCTCATAAGAACAATATGAACCATTAAGTTACAACGGTTATGTCCTGCACAGAGACCATACCAGATGGCACAGCAACATGGATGGGAAGTGGTTCACGAGGCCACACCCCTTGTAGAAGAGCTATAGGCAGCAAGGCTTCTGAAGGAGGAGAAACAGTTTTCTTCAGGAACAAGTTCCCTGATAGGTTACCTAAATTGTCATCCCTAAACCCATGCACATAGGGTAACAATATTTAGACTCTGTAGACAGTGCATATATGTGTGTATATATACCTGTAAATATATATAAAACAATAATAATCATAGGATAAGAAAATATGAATTTGAGAGGGGGATATTACTGGTAGAAATGTGAGAAGGTGGAGGGGAGACAGATGGGGAAAATTACAAAATTTTAGTGTATAAAATTCTCAAAAAATGGTTCGTGAATAAAAATAAATAAAACTGGAATAAAAATTAAATTTAAGCTCTCCCCACCCCCCAATATTTCAAATTGAACCTAGGGCTCCATTCATGGAATTCAACTACTCTACCACTGAGCTACAGCCCTGGGCCAAATTCTCATTTTAATTGTTACTATATTCTTGACTGAGAAGAGATTAATTCTTTAAGGTAAGGCTACATGCAATTTACTGTGTATTACATATCAAGCATTGGTAACAATTATCTCTTATCCTAATAAACAGTACTGGAAAATAGGTTCTCCCCCTTCAAGAATCTGAAAATAGAGCCTGGAGACTTCAAACAATTGGAGAAAAATGAAAAGCATATTATGCAGGGAATTAAGTAGTGTAAAAGCCCACAGGGAAGCTGGGAAGTTCAGTGGTAGTTTTCCTAACACGCATCAGGTCATGTTCAAGCCTCAGCACATTTTGTGTTTTAATAAAGATGGTATCGCTGTTCTACTTTAAATCTGCATGCAAACATGACTGTGTATCAAGATTGTGGTTAGCATTTAACTGATAATGAAATATACTTTCTTACAGAATCTGTCAGGAGATAAGAAAGATAATAAAATAAGGTTTTATTCTAAACTAGTTCCATATTTACTTATCACATATAATGTGTTACATAAGTAAATCTATTGGATACAAAGTGGGTTTGCTAAGCTTAGCATGAGTATATAATTAATTTTAAAAGTAAGGTATATAATATTTAATGGAAGCAACCTCCATTTCTTACAGAAAATTTGGGGACCTGAAGTAAATAGGTATTTATAAACGATTTTGTAAGCACAGGTAGAACTTATAAATGGCAGAATGTTTAAGTTTCCTATACATTTTCATGAGTTCTGACACTTTCAAAATTATAGACATGGTGAAATGTTTTATTGTGACTGAAAAAATAACACTGCTAAAATAAATTTTTTTGTCAACTTGTTCTCTCTTAAAATGCCTTAAGCACTTCAGTTTAGGTGTCAGATTACGAATGCAGGATGAGGAAAAGCAACGCTTTTACAGCAAGCGCTACAGAATGGTGCTGAATTAGGTGTAGGCAGAGGTCTGTAGAGTTACATAAAAGGAGTTGTTTGAAATGATTTAATTACGCCATGTGTCTTGCATTAAAGCTTTTCTGTAGGTAATTTTCGCCATGTCATATTAAAACTCAACAAAATCTTTCCCCAACTTTTCCTCTTTGCCTGCCTGTCCCTTCCTCTGTTAACTTTCTGGAGCAGTGGTTCTCAACCTTCCTAATGTTGTGATTTTTTAATACAGTTTTTCATGTTGTGGTAATCTCTTGCCATACAATTATTTCATTACTGCTTGGTAACTAGAATGTTGCTACCATTATGAATCATAATGTAAATATCTAATATGCAGGATACCTGATCAGAGATCTCTGTGCAAAGCTCATCTGAGCTCTCAAGGGGTTGTGACCCACAGGTTGAGAACCAGTGCCCTAGAAATCTAGACCACCTTCTTAATGTTCAGTTGCTGGGCTTCTGGCTGCAATACTGCACAGAATTTTTGATGACAACTTCCTGGCTGTAATGACATTTTTTTTTTCACCACACAGGATATTCTTCCCTGAAAGCCTTCCCCTTCCTCCTCTTCCTCCTCTTTTTTGTCTCTTGATGTTTCTAGCACTCTGAGTATTTCTAACTCTAGTTTCTTTCACATTACCGACTCCGGGTCGCCCCCTTTATGCACTGATCTCGAGATATCAAAACTGTTAACGATGATTCTTAACAATGAATACTCATCAGAATAATAGCACCAAGAAGTATAGGGTATTGGGCCTTTCCTGTGCTTGACTGAATATCAGGCACTTTAGTCGTAGAACACTTTCAGCTGTACTTTGAAAGAACTCTGATAATTCTGGCAGTATCGCTGTGACAACAGGTGTTCCCCAAGGATGTACAACTGTCCTAACTACTTTCCTCATTGCAAGTTCATGGCTCTTGGAACTATGTATTATCACCATGGTGATCATTTAGTACTTCAGAGTTATTGTAAGAAAAACTATCATTCTGCCATCAATTTTGGAAAAGATAAAACAGCAGATGAGTTCTTACTGAAAGATTTCTCAAGGCCATGTGCATGCTTCATACCTCTATGGTACTTGTCAAGGTTCTTTTCACCATTAAAACACATTGTTTGCATTAAAATTATCTCCTACTTGATACATACACATTAGTGATGAGTCGGTATCTAGCATAATTCTATTTAAAACTCTTCAATTATCTTTGGACTGCAAAGCATTTAAGGCCTTGTTGCAGTACTGGGGATTAACTCACAGAATTATACATACTAGGCAAGTGCACTACCACTGAACTATATTCCCAACTCTGTTAAAGCCTTGTAAGATATGCCTAGAACCTTTGCCACATTTCCTCTTCTACTCTACAATGAAGTGGGCACCTTTTGAAGTCAGACATATTTGGTTTTGAATAATGTTTAGCCATGGTAAGTATTTTAGAACAATTCAATTTGTTGATAAGTGAAAGAAAGTTCCTGCTGCCTCCATTTGGAAGGGCTACCCAGAAGAATACAAGCTGGTCCTCTTCATACTTTATGTGACCGTATGAGCACTTAGCTATAAGAATTCCAAATAGAGATACACTATATCACATTAGAAAAACTCATCACAAGAATAATGTCAAATGTCTTATTAGTAACTTTAAAACCAGATTACATGTTAGGTTGTCATTTTAAATGCTGAGACATGTAAGATAACATGTAGTTTTCACTGTACTGACACTGAAAACACTGCTAGAAAAGAAACATTTCAACAACTTCTTTTGGCTAAGTGTCTCCAAGAAATGCTTTGATATACAACAGATGAAGCAGTAAGCTCTTGAAGATCTCATGTGCTCTGTGTCCTTTCGTTCTCAAATTACACTGTGGGCAGTTAACCAGACTGACTGAATTCAGATTCACTTTAAACTTTAGGGCATCAAATTCACTTGAATAAAATGTTTTCCTTTCCTTTTCTTTTCCTCAGATCCTAAAGAATTATGTTTGAATTAATTCTTGTATAAAGTATGGAGCTGAAAAGTATACCTACGACTTGTTCTCACACCAGTGAACAGACTCTTATTTTCTAGAAGAAGTGAGTTTTCCTAAGTTATTTTCATATAAAAATAGACTATGTGACTAAGATTCTAGAATTGGTGAATGCTATCACACTTGAGTCTTTTAAAACTCACAGTCTAAGCTGGTAACATATACTAATTCTTAAGCCATTATGATTTAGTCAGAGGGTGAAAGAAAAAGAGATCTGAAAAGAGTGTCTACTGAAGGATAGAAAACAAATGTTTTCTAAAAGGTGTTGTAGAGATGTTTAGTAATATTTATTTTAATTGACTATAAAGAAAACGTTTAACAACTGGATTACAACTTACCTCATTGCCACATTGCTTCCATCAATAACTACTGGTCTCAGATTTTCACCATCATCTGTTACAATCTCTTGCATTGGAGATTCCGACCTCTGCGATTCCAGGGATGATGTTTCTCGCATTCCGCTGTTAATAGTACTAACTGTTTGGTCAGCTTCACTTTTATTTCCAAGTTTGACAAGTTCTCCCAATATATCATTGATTAAAGCATCAGTACCAAGTTTGTTTAGCACAAGCTGGACCTGTTCTTCAGAATAACCTAACTTAAGTGCAAACTCCAGTTTTGTTTGGTATTCTCGAACCACATCAGGGGCTTTCTTCACTTCCTTGGATGGAGTCTGGGACTCTTCTAATTTAAAGTCTTGCAAAATGTCACTGTGTTTCAGTAGGTGAGACTCTAAGCAGGGAGAACGACATAACTGTCTGTGAGTCTTGGTTAATAAGCATGGCTCTACTGAAAGGCTACTCAGTTGTTCTGACTCATGATCAGAAGTCGTGCTTTCCTCAGAGTCACCAGAGCTCACGTTCGCTTCAGACAGCCCTTTTTCTTCCTTCCCTGCACTGACTGTATCCATTGTTGGCTTCTCTACCATAGGCCAAGGCACAGCTGCACTTAGCTGTGGGTCAGCGCTCTCCTTATAAAGGTGGCCAAGGTCATGTCCCAAGTGCTCCTTCAGGCCCATGAAGGTGCTCCGTGCACTTGACTCCACTTTGCTGCTTTTCCTGTATTCCTGAATGCAAAGCACCCCGTATTCCTAGAAAAAAAATGTAAAATAGTTAATATATCACATTTATTGTTTGAATCTTTCCTCAGTGAGTAAGTCAGAAGGGCCAAACTATTGAATGGCTACTTTGTATTTTGTCTGAAGCCTTTCATCACTTACAGCAAACTTGCCAAGACTCTTTTCCATGAATCCCTCCCAGGCAACAAAGTAAACAGAAAGCCAAACTGGAGTTTTACAAAGGTTTGTTCTCTCTTGCTCTTTCTTGTTCTCTCTCTTTCTCTCTTTCCCTATCCCCCTCCCTCCCTCCCTCCCTTTCCTCCTTAACCCCTGCTCCCATGTAGATATGCAGGCGTGTAACAAAGAATCAGAGGTTATGAATCTGAAAAGGAGCCTGACACATGAAGTAGGAAGGGGGAAAGGGGAAGAGGAAATGACAGAAATATAGTACTCATATGTGAAAGCCTCAAAAAAGTGAATTTACATAGTTAAAGAAAGGGGCAGTAAGAATGGGGTAATAATAAAGCTAATCACATGATTTTGTCAAGCATCCTGCTATTTGCCTATGAGTCCAGCAACTGGGCCACTGTCACATGAAGATGGAGTCTCTGAGATTAATTTGGGCTACATAACGAGTTCCAATCCAGTCTGTGTTAGAGACCCTGTCTCAAGAAGAATAAAATGGCTAATTATCTTCCATTTTGAGATGAATATAACTTTTCATTAATAGTTATGACTTTTTTAATACTTAACATTGTAACAGAAGATACTTTTAAATATTATGATCTTTTATTGGCAGACATATACAGATTTTATTCTACATAAAATTTGAGGCAAGCAGGCATACTAGTCTATCAGGGTTTTTTAAAATTTTTTTTATATTTATTTGTTCTTTGTATGTGAGTACACTGTAGCTTTCTTCAAACACACCAGAAGAGGGCATCAGATCCCATTAGAGATGGTTGTGAGCCACTATGTGATTGCTGGGAATTGAACTCAGGACCTCTGGAAGAGTAGTCAGTTAACCGCTGAGCCATCTCTCCAGCCCCAGTTTTTTATTTTTATGATAGAAAGTATTTTTGTATTGCATCAGACTAATACATATTTATGGTCATACCACTTTGACCTGACGTCATCTGATCTCAGATTAACAGCATACCTGCATTTTGTTTAAAATTCATCTTTTTGTTTGTCTGTTTGTTTTCCCTGTAGGAATATTTTTACTGTTTTACATTTTTCTGCTGTTATACTTTTTTTCCTTAAGACCTACTAGAGATAATTTAATTCTCTACTAGGGATAGGTCAGAAAAATAAGGCTATTTTCTCTTTCTACATCATTTTGAGGACTAAACCAACAGCATGAGTTATTACAGCAATTCTGGTGTTTTTCCATTAATTAGCAAGTCAGGAGTAGCCAAACCTAACGCTCTTGTGAAACACCTATTTGGATAATCTAATAAAGAAAATTGAAGAAATATTTTAAACTGAAGCTCTTCAACAAAACATACATACCAGAAGAAATATATTATATAAACATTAAAAGAAAATGGTAATTTTGAAATTTAAAAATTTATCTAATAAAACCCACTACAGGATCAAATATTTTTCACAGTGTAATGAATTTCATTAACTATGATAAATACTAGAGATCATGCAATCTTTAAATATACAAAATTTCAATATTTCCTTAGGGTAAAAGTCCTACACATTTCTATAGGAGTTTCTTCAGGGTTTGTTCTTTGAGAATAACTGGAATGTTCTACTAATACAGCTGTTCTACTAATACAATACTCACTAAAGAAATGCCCAGTTTCCTAGTTCCTGGAAACCCAGTGATAAAGAGCATCTGCTCCGTTATGAAGCTGTGTCCATTTCAACTTTTTCTATTAATATGGATATGCATGGCCCAGTTACTTAGAATTAAGGAAGGGATTCTGAAAGTAAATCTGTACACCCTGTGATTTATTAACTACAGTAATGTACTAACACCATAATGTAAGTAACAAATCACAACAGCATCCTAATAATGGGATACAGTTAAAAGAAAATCTACACCGTGGCCTTAGTAAAGCTCCCACCAAAAGTATCTTAAACAAGAAAAATCTATTGGAAGATGGGCTGCCTGGCAACCAGAAGATGGTTGCTAAGCTGCACTCCTTTAACATGCCATCATGAATGCTAGCACAGTGAAAGAATAATTTGGTATGAACAAAAGCCTATAAAAGAGACTGGGACTTAAGTGCGTCTGGTTTACCCTCAGAGAACAATGCAGCTGCCAAACCAATCTGGACGCTCCGACATGATTGTTCTGTAAACCCCACAATCTGTTCTGACTGCAGGAAGGGCATCTAATGGGAAATATTTTTGCTCTCCCCTGAAAAGTTTGGGTTTTGCATAAATGCTGTTGTGAGATAATTCAAGACCAAATTGCTGAGTTGAACTAGGGAATATTCTTTTAATATTGAGCAGTTTTGTTGTGTTTTTGAGCTAGGGGATCTGCACCAGACATGATAAATACCTCTGAAAAATACAGACAGGGAGAAACATTAGAATAAAATTTTCTAATTGAAAGATATGTAGATTTTCTTAATTTTAACATTTCAAAGTGGCAAATCCAGATACTGCAAAGTTTTGAAACAAATAGCCTGACCAGTCTAAAGCTGCATTTCAATCTATTCAAACTTCTATTTCCCCTTCAGTCTAGTATTTGAAAACTACCTGGATCTGTTCTCTTATGCACTTTACCACATGGCTATTGTGTAAAGCTGGGAGAAATGGACACTAATACTTTCAATTTCAGTTGTACATACTATTTAAATAACATTTCACAATATTTTTTTCAAGAATAACCAATAATGCTTTTCAATGTTAAAACTAAATGCCAGCATGGTCTAGGTTTTAACATTTGAAATAACTTGATTTATATTGACTGAAATGGTAAACATTTGGATTTTAAAACTTCCATTTATAGAACACTTCTGATCAAGTTGTAGCTAGTAAAAAGTTGCCATGATTTAATAGGGCATTTAAAAAAAAAATCCAGAATTTGACACTATCTTAAAGTTATCCAGTAAAAAATTTGATATAAGCCTGAATATTTAGAGATACAAACAGCTGTAGCAGGACACACAGAGCTTAAAGAAGTTAACATCCAAAGCTGTGTAGAGGGTTTATGTTTGCTTAGCATTTTAACAATGACTACTAAGCTTGTAAAAGAAAAAGAATTCATAGAATATGTTACTTATCATATGTAATGCAATAATATCTTTTAATTTTTAAACCATGAATGGTTTAGACTTTTAAAGTTCTGCATTTACTTAGTCAAGCCTAAGCTTATGTAAGTATTCATAAAACTCAAATAAAATCAACTAATATGGTAATTTTCCTCTGTTCATGCAGAAGCAGAGTCAAAGCATCACCACAAAGTAGACCAGTTCATACTTGCAGAGTCACTGGAAGACTCTGAGAAGAACTGTAAACTTTGTATCACAGAACCATTCTATATGGTGGCTTGGACATTATACAAGAATATAATAAAGATATTCTGTTCTTGAACACAAAAAGTACTAGGCAAAAATACAATAAAAGACATATCAAGTTTTAAAAATCCATAAACTACCTCTAGATATATCAGAAATTCACTGTTTTTCTTGATAAAGACTAAAGATTAAATAATAGTATTTGTTGAAAAAGAATGAATTATGTTAATTTTGTAGATGAAGATGAAAAATGCCTTGTTCTTTCAGTTGTCAAAACCATAACTCTATAGTGGCTGAATGCAGGTTAGGACAGGAAGGGTATTGCTCTGAAATTTACTGCATCTACTGAATTCCTCTATTTTGTGAAAAGATTGTTTGAAAGTTCTCAATAGGCAACTTGGATAACAACTCACCTTGGATAACAACTCAAGTTGTTATAAGCTTGTTTTTAGCATTCTAGAGAGCATTATAGTGACCAGGAATATTAGACCATAAGCTTGCTACATCAAATCATTTGTTTGTAAAGTCACAATGCATGAAAGTAGGCTCTGGTTGCTATCCAAATGGTTATACTATGAGAACAATGAGAATAAAATAATGAATATGTAATACATACCTACTGCTATGGTCTTTGCGTATTTAATTACCATTGTATTTGAGTGAGCACTATTGTCTGCAACCCTCTAGCTAACAAAGGCAGGATGTTCCTTTGAACAGATTGGTTAATGTTCTGGGGCAACAGATGTCTACTGGAACTGCAGGAGACCAGCAACTGGTGGCCTGCCTATCTTCCGAAAACTTTCAATAGACTTATGCATATGTTCACACAATAGGGCATGTGGTAGAAATGAAAACCTCTCTTTAACCCTTTACATTCTTTCTTTTCCTCCCAACTGACAGATGAAAGTCTTTGTCTACTCCTCAGTTTCCCATTACAGAACTCTTGAAACTAACTGGAATGGCATCTTCAACCTAATATCTGAAACTAACACAAGGGGAAAAGGGGGAGAAAGAAAATAACTTTTAACACCAATACTGACATTGTTGACAAGGCATCTGAATGCTTAATCATCATCTTTAAAAGCAGCTGTTGGAAACATCGGTCAGTCTCAATCCATCTCTCCAAACTAGACTCTTCACAAAACAGAAACAATCCACTGAACCTGACTAGCACTTCACAGGGATGCCGTATGAAACAAAAGCATTTGACAAGAGAAAATCTAAATTTGTTGTTTAGCAGGATGTTAGAACTTCTGTATAACTTATCTTAAGTTTCAAATGATTGTGTTTAATTTCCATCGCTTACATGCATTCACTAAGCTAAAAGTAAGTATATGCAAAAACATAATAATATAAAACTCTGTTTCACAGATATATTCTTACAGAAAGAACCAGGTTCTTTCAGCATACTGGCACTAACATACCCTTTACAGCAAAGTTTAACTTCTAAAAGCACTAAGTAGTAAGATACTTACGTTAGCAGGAAAATACAAAGACATTGGTTTCTGTGGCAGCTCCAGCAGTAACAACAATTTTAGCTGCAGACTTCCAGGC